CCCCGCTCGCCGCCGCGCCGCCCGGGCCCCAGCCGCGGCCAGCCTTTTCTCCCGGAGCAGCCGTCGCGAGCCCAGGGGGTTTGAGAGGGGCCGCGGGCGGGAGGCCCGAGCGGGGCCGGCCGCGTCGGCGGGGGAGGTTGGAGCGACGCTGAGCTTGGGGCTCGCCGGCGGCCGCGGCGCCGGGGGGTGGTGAGGGCCGGGCGACCGCTCGCTCCGCGCTGCCTCGGTGCAGGGCGAGCGGCGGGCCTTTGCACAGCGGCCGCCGCCGCCGCCGCGGGAGGAGGGGGCTGAGCTGGCTCCGGAGTTGGCCAAAGAAGGTGGGCATTTCTCGCTTCTCCTCGCCTCCCCCGCCCCCTCCCGGGCTCCCCTCCCTCCTGCCCCGCACCCCACGTGAAGCCGAATATAAAGGGGGGTGTGTGACTGGAGGGGAAAAGTGAATGGCGAAGGACTGAAGGGGTCCCCCCTCCGGTTCCTCAGCCACCTGGTTCACCCGCTTCATCCTCCCTTCCCGAAGCTAGCCCTCGAAGGAAGGAGCAGCCGGCGCCTTCGGCAGAGGAGGAGGAGGAGGAGGAGTAGGAGGCATCGGAATCGCGTCGGGCGGAGCTTCAGGTCCCGTTCGCCTCTCCGGCTTCTCCATACAAAGATTACGGTGCAGAAGGAAATTGCACTCGCCTCCTCCGCCCCCCGGTACCCATCACAATGCACCAGCCGCCGGAGTCCGCCGCCGCGGCGGCCGCTGCTGCAGACATTAGTGCTAGGAAGATGGCGCACCCAGCAATGTTCCCTCGAAGGGGCAGCGGTGGTGGCAGCGCCTCTCCGCTCAATGCAGCAGGTACTGGGGTCAGTGGTGCTGCCCCATCTTCTGAGGATTTTCCTCCTCCTTCGCTGCTCCAGCCACCGCCTCCTGCTGCATCTTCCACGCAGGGACCACAGCCTCCGCCTCCACAAAGCCTGAACCTCCTCACGCAGGCTCAGCTGCAGGCACAGCCTCTTGCACCGGGCGGAACTCAGATGAAAAAGAAAAGTGGCTTTCAGATAACTAGTGTTACTCCGGCTCAGATCTCTGCCAGCATCAGCTCTAACAACAGCATAGCAGAGGATACCGAGAGCTATGACGATCTGGATGAGTCGCACACGGAAGATCTCTCTTCTTCTGAGATCCTCGACGTCTCCCTCTCCAGGGCCACTGACTTAGGTGAGCCGGAACGCAGCTCCTCAGAAGAGACTCTGAATAACTTCCAGGAAGCTGAGACGCCTGGGGCTGTCTCTCCTAACCAGCCCCACCTTCCTCAGCCTCATTTGCCTCACCTTCCACAACAGAATGTTGTGATCAATGGGAATGCTCATCCACACCACCTCCATCACCACCATCACATCCATCATGGCCACCACCTTCACCACGGCCACCACCATTCATCCCATGCTGCCGTGGCCGGTGCCCCCGTTCCTGGAGGGACACCCCCGAGCCCACTGTCCAGAAAACTCTCAGCTGCTGGAAGTGCTGATGGTGGCGTGCCAGTCGCACCGACTTCTGCTGTATCATCCAGCGGCTTACCTGCATCACCTATGACTAACATCCGCGCCCCGACTACTACAGGCAGCATAGGTATAAGTCCCGTTGCCGGCGCGAGTGCAGCGAATAACGTTAACGCTGCTACCGTGGGTAGTTTCAGTCCCAGCGTGACAAGCAGCATGCATGGTAATGCTAATATAAGTACAAGCAACACTCCTAATGCTGCTAGCGTAAGTGTTGGGCCTGGAGTTACCAGTGTCGGTACCGTGAATGTCATGAGTGGCATGGGCAATGGTACTGTTTCTTCCTCTCCTGTTGCTAACAGTGTCCTTAATGCAGCCGCAGGTATCGCTGTGGGAGCGGTTTCAAGTCAGCAGCCGCAGCCGCCAACAGTTAACACGTCACGGTTCAGAGTTGTGAAGTTAGACTCTACTTCTGAACCCTTTAAAAAAGGTAGATGGACTTGCACCGAGTTCTATGAGAAAGACAATGCCTTGCCGGCTTCGGAAGGCGTGGCAGTAAATAAAGTGGTGGAGACCGTGAAACAACCCCCCACGGAAGTGTCTTCGGAGAGGGAGAGCACCAGTGGGAGCTCAGTGAGCAGTAGCGTCAGCACCCTGAGTCATTACACAGAGAGCGTGGGAAGCGGAGAGATGGGGGTCCCCGCTGTGGTGGTGCAGCAGCAGCCGCCGCTACCACCGGCGCCGCCAGGCCTTCAAGGTGTGGCCCTCCCACAGATGGATTTCAGTAGCCCTGGGCCTCAGAGTATTGCAGCAGTTGGCATGCCACAGAGTGTTTCTCAGTCCCAGATGTCACAAGTACAGTTACCGCCGCAAGAACCGAGCTTCCAGCAGAGGCAAGGTCTTCAGCCGGTGCCTCTGCAAGCTGCCATGAGTGCAGCAACTGGAATCCAGCCGTCACCTGTGAACGTGGTTGGTGTGACGTCAGCGGTCGGTCAACAGCCTTCCATTTCCAGTTTGGCTCAAGCCCAACTGCCGTATCCTCAGACAGCCCCTCCAGTGCAAACTCCTCTTCCAGGGGCACCACCCCAGCAGTTACCATATGGGCAACAGCAGCCAATGGTTTCTACGCAGATAGCCCCGGGCCACGGCCAGCCCGTGACTCCAAATCCTACTTCCGAGTACATACAGCAGCAGCCAGTCCTTCAAGCAGCCACGATGTCCTCTGGACAGTCCAGTTCTGCAGGCACGGGAGCAGGAACATCGGTGATTCCCGTGGCCCAGCCACAGGGGATGCAGCTGCCAGTGCAGCCCACGGCAGTACAAACCCAACCCGCAGGGGCCTCTGGGCAGCCCATTGGCCAGGCTCAAGCAGCAGTGCCTGCTGTCCCGACTGGCGGTCAAATTGCAACCATGGGTCAACAGGCAAACATGCCCACTGCAGTACAGCAGCCCTCCAGCCAGGTCACACCTTCAGTTATTCAGCAAGGTGCTCCTCCATCTTCACAAATAGTTCCACCTGCTCCAGCTGGGATTATTCATCAGGGAGTTCAAACTAGTGCTTCGAGCCTTCCTCAGCAATTGGTTATTGCACCCCAGAGTACCTTGTTAACTGTGCCTCCCCCGCCACAGGGAGTAGAAACGGTGGCCCAAGGAGTTGTTGCCCAGCAGTTGCCCGCGGGTAGTCCGTTGCCCTCTGCTAGTAGTATTTCTGTTACCAGTCAGGTTAGTTCAGCTGCTCCCCCTGGAATGCCTTCCGCCCCAACAAACTTAGTTCCACCACAGAATATAGCACAACCCCCAGCCACCCAAAATGGCAATTTGGTTCAAAGTGTTAGCCAATCTCCCTTGATAGCCACTAACATAAATTTGCCTTTGGCACAACAGATACCGCTAAGTTCTACTCAGTTCTCTACACAATCATTAGCTCAGGCCATTGGAAGCCAAATCGAAGATGCCAGGCGCCCAGCGGAGCCCTCCTTAGTCGGCTTACCTCAGACTACCAGTGGTGACGGTGGGGGAATGTCAGCAGTTTCAGATGGGAGCAGCAGCCTAGCAGCCTCTGCTTCTCTCTTCCCGTTGAAGGTGCTACCGCTGACAACACCCCTGGTGGATGGCGAGGAGGAGAGGTAAGACCGAGTGCTCCCGCAGACACAGCAGTTCAGATTAATCTCTTAGCAGCAGTATGCGTGGGGACGGCTAGTCTAAAGCCTTCTACCCTTGCGCTTGCATGTGAAAGGTGCATATTCGTGGTAAGTTTTCCAGAGTAAGAGTGTTTGAGAGCCGGTGGGAGGCAGTCTAGGCTATGAAAATAATGTTCACGGTGGTTATCAAAGTGTAAGTGTGCATCACAGTAGGGGCCACCAGCTAGATTTTATTATTTACAGAGTGCTTTCGAGAAGATTATTTATGAAAAGCAGCTTACATTTTGTTACCCCACAAAATAGTTAAGCTATTCTTCCGAGCTACTAAATTCTATCATTTCTTTCCGGGGTTGTGGTTCCCATGTTTGCTCTAGCCATACAGCCCTTTCTGTCCTAATATGTGTCAGCCCAGGCTGTGAAAGATACTGTTACCTGCTTGTCCTCCTGAGGCACTGTGGGAAAGATGACCTAATCTGGGTCATATAGGTTGCCCTCCTGTTAGCAACCAGCTTTTGTAAACTTAATTTAATGGTCACTTTATCCGAACAGAGGAGGAATACGAGTCTTGAAGTGTATTCTTCAAGGGGAAAAATACCCAGATTTATGCTTGGTATTAAGTAATGCTGGAAATTTTTTTCTTTTGATAGTAGGTAAAAGTGGTAGCCATTTTAAAGAGTGAAATCAGTCTGAAAGGGCTGATTTTGTACAGGCTAATCTATCCCACCTGTTTCTTCCCGAACCAGACTACGGAAGGTCTAAGAGTCAGTCAGTGTTAAGCCAGCATTTTTTTTTTTTCAATTATATTAGAAATAATAGTTAATCACACTTATCAGACTGCTAGAAAAACCTTTGAATTATATTTGTACATTGCTTTAAGATTAGTTTTTTTTTAAAGGAATTTTTTTTACGAGTTTGCCAGTGTTCACAAACAGTGATCAGAAGTACAGTAGTTGTGAAAAGACTTCTTTTTCACTGTGAAGTTTTGAAAAATCATTTACTATAGTTAATGATTTTAGTATCTGTTGGAGATTTTTGACATTGAACTTTCGCCATTCCAACTGAAGCCTTTATATTCTATATGTATCTGTGGGTTTACTTTGGAAAAATTGAGAATGTTGCAAAAAAAAATTGTATAAAAAGAACAAGGCCAAATGTTTCAGTGATTTTTTTTTTTTCTAAGTCATTTAAAAGATATAGAGATTATGGTAATTGAAACAGGTGAAAATACTTTGTTTTTTTTTAATAGTTATATGAGTAAATTTTGTTACTAACTAAATTTAGTCCTTATCCTTGTACAAAACTACTTCACAAGTTAGACTTTGAAGAGGTAGTTTCTGTAGTAGTCCAGTTATAATTTTTGTTCAACCTTTAATTTCACCTTTATCATTCTATCCTTACCTGTAATTTTAATTAAGGAATGATTTACTCTAATTTTTTTTTTGTTGTTGTTGTTTCCTAAATTAAAAGGGTGTGAACTGAGTGACTTTCCTGTTAAAATAAGTATATAATACAGACGCTCACTGAAGAAAAGTGAGAGGCAGGTGACAACGGAGAAATGAAAACCACACACTGGTCACAAACCTGCGACGTTTTCTCTTAATTACTGTGTGTGGGCTCCTGGGGTGGGGTGGGCTTGCCTAGTTTTCCTCCTCTTGGCAGGGATGATGGCAGGCTTTCCAAAGTCGTGCTGTCCACAGTCAAGTCAGGAGTGCTGCACGCTAGTCTTCATCTGTAGAGTGAGTCCCAGTTTGAGATGCTGCAGAGCCATTTTCCCTATAGATAGATAGCAGCTGGGATGCGGGTAGGCCAGGAGGCGGTGAAGTAGGCTTACGTTCTCAGAGAGCACAAGAAGTAGGAAGCATTCGTCTGCAGTGACTGACATAAGTTGTCCTCACACTGTGTTTGAACTTCAGTTTATCACAAATGCATGTTAGTCGGCATCACAGGGACTGGACTCGCTGTTTGCCAGGCCTCCTTCGAGTTCTCTGAGAGCTTAGTCTCCCTGCGAAGGCACATGCAGGACCAACCAGGGAGGTCCATTTTAATCGTGTTTCATTCCAGATTGTTTTTATCTCACTGTAGTTTCTTCTTCTTTTTTTTTAATCATTTAAATTTGCCCTTGAAGACAATTGGGAAATATGAGAGAAAAATGAAGTTGCCTTAAGAACCACCTTTTTTTTTTCATGCCAGCCTATATCACTTGCATCTTCCAGGCTTTGTGTCATCATTGATCTCCTTTGGAAGAAACGGCTGTACCCTCATTTCATTTTATGACCCAGGAAGTATGTTAGCATAAAAATGCTGGTGGCAGAAGAGGGAGATTATCCTTGAATATATATTGCAATAATAGATTTAAATGCTGAGACAAATGCCTTCAGTTGCCCACTTATCAACTGTAAAACTTTGGAGACTATAAACATTACAAATACGGATTGAGGTATTAAGATCTGTGACTTATTTTTTCTAACAATCATTTTATTATAAAGATCTTGGTATCTTAGCCTTTAATGTGAACTAACTTTTATGGGAACGGGAAGACACAGTTGTTTTACTATAATGTCCTGTGCTTATTAGCACACGATCATGTGAAATTCTATTCTCTTGTTTCTAGGCAAAGCTCAGATGTTCTCTGTGAAAGATTGTTCTTCCCCAGGGGCTGTTTCCTTAGCACATTTTTCTGTCTCTCTATATAAGTACTGTGTATTTGGTGATAATTATGTTTACCAGTTTTTCCCACAAGGCAGAAACAATTTTTTTTTTTTTTAACAAAGTTAGTGAGCAGATCTTTTTTGGTTTTGCCTACCAAGACACAGTTTTCCTTCTGTCTGCCATCTCAACCACACCGTTAGAAAAGCAGGTGCTATGATTTATGTAATGAAGTGAGCCATATGACTTTGCCAGCTCCCTGCTCCTTAAGGTGACATGGTGTAAGCCTTCAAATCATGCCTTTTTTTGTAGTAAGTCCTCAAGTATTATACAGGAACAAGTGGTTTGTTTTCCATGTTTATTTCTGTGTCGCATGTGTGCATGTGATTGAACATGGACGTCAGAGTTAACGTCAACTGTCTTCCTCAGTGTGTCCTCCTTATTTTTTGAGGTGGGGTCTCATTGAATTGGAACTCATTGTGCTGGCTGGGCTGGCTCACCGCTGAGCTGCCTCCACCGCTGCAGCTCTGCCTCCACTTCAGGCTCACATGCTGTGTAGCAAGCACTTGCCATCTGTAAGGCGGGAGAGCGAGCTGTGTCCCCAGCCTGGAAATCAGTGTTTTCTTATAAAAAAGCGAACAGTGCTTGTTTTACTTACCTGCTGAGAATGGTAGGCTGTGTCAGTTAAAAAAAAAAAAAGTAAAATACTAAATACCTTTTAAAGGTTTTTTGTTTGACCCTGTAGCCCTGGCTGGCCAGGAACTCAGAGATGAGCCTGCTTCTGCCTCACGAGTGGTGTGGTCTGAGAGGTGTGTTCCTTCACACAGGCCTAAGTGTTTATTTTTTATATGCACAATTGAAAGAATCAAACTCTCTACTTTCTGATCCCCCCCTCCCTCCTGGGTCTCCTTTCCAGAATCCCTTTAATTTCCCATAGATGATTGCTGTTGACAAGCCTGACTTGCTACTGGACAGGCAACAGTGTGTGGCTCAGAAGGCAGACTGCCCAGCATTGTCTTTTCTTTGTCCTCTGCTCCTTTCTTGTGATTTCAGGCTGTTTAATTTGCTTATGCCTCAGTTTCCTCACTTGGAAACAATGAAGGCAAATAGCATTCCTCACAGAATTGTTATGTAAATTAAATGAATCCAGAAGACTCTTCAGAGCTTATTAACTCATTGTGTTCCTATGAGTTTATTAAATAAAACAATGGTTTGTGTTTCTAAATGTCTTGGATAAAATGGACCTGCCTGCTTGTTGCCCTCCTTCCAGTAGTCCTTTCTCCCAGTAGTTCTTTCACTCTTGAATATTCATAAGCCTTGTAAAAGATGATTTCTTTTTCTGTCCACAACCTTGCTCCTCTCCCCGTCCCCAGCTATTTGGTGTATGGAAGGGGTGGCCCCCCTCTTGGAATCCCTTTATCCACAGTCTGTTTTCTCCAGGTTACTACCTCTTTAGTCTCCACCTCCAGAGAGTCCTTCCTCAGCTCACTGGTGATTTCTTGTTTGGGTGCTTGCACTTCAGTGAAAGAGGACTAGAGAGCTACTTAGAACATTTCACTGGGGTTCCTCTTAGTGTGGAACTTTGCTTGGGGGTCAGATGGCTGGAGTTATAGTTCCTGCCACACCCTACCTACGTTTAGTCTCCTCTCCGTTTATCATTAATTCTCAGTATCACTGCCGCTCACCATCAACCTCAAATGCCCTTTCTCTGGGAAGTCTGGTATCCCTCTGGTCTCTATTCTGGACTGTTGCCTAGGTTTGCTACTCATCTGTTGCCTTTGGATTCCCCTTTACATTTTCTCCAGTGGTACATCTTTATTTTCCACAGCCAGTGTTCACTTCATTCATGATTTACCTGCTATTTTTAAATGGTGTCAGCTAACTTTTACAATCAACTGATTCTTTGATTAAGTAAAGGATGCCAGGTTGTAAAAATTGTGTTCTCTTAAACTTTTTGATACCACTTTAGAGCTTCCATGTTGCTTTTGAAAAATTTGTAGCCATTTCGGTTTCTTACTCCATATGTGACCTGTCTGCTTTTCTTCTCTTTCATTCTTCTCCCTCTCTCGCTCTTAATTTTTAAAGTCAATGAAAGCTTTTAAAGTTTGCTTCCAGTGTTTTTAAATTTTACGTTGACTGCATTTGAGTCTGGTGGGGAAGGGTGGATTTCGCTTTTATTCATGAGATTTTGGTGTGTGGTATTTCAGTTTGGGAAGCTGAATTTGAACCCAGGCCTTGCATAGGCTTGTCAGAGACTGCCAGTGAGCTACATCATAAACATTTTCTGCTTCTCAAACTTATTTGCATAATGGGCCTCCCTGACTGGTCTTCTAATTTCT